CTTCTGAGATCAGACAAGATTGGGCGCTTTCAGAGTGGTATGGCCATAGACTAACTCCATATTTTCTAAGCAAGCTTATTAGTCATTATAGTATTAATCTTACTACTTCAACTTTCTCTTGAAAGCCAGCCTTGAAGGGCTACCCACTGTTTCTGCTTACATGCCTTTCTTGCAAAAAAGATTAGCCCCCTGGGGACTTGGGTCGCTCTTCTCTCTCCAGATGAAGCTATGTCCCTTCTGCTTCCTGGAGAAATTAATTAGGACAAGGTCCTTAACCAAAGCTGGAAAATAGTCGTTCTTTGACATGCTCTTGAACTTTTCTGCTAAAAGTGATGAGCCAAATAAAGTCCCTAACATGTCATTCAGTCATTCATCCAACAAATAACTGTTGGTGAATTATCCAATCTCAAGTATTCCATTATTCAACAACAACAATAACAAAACAGACTAACTGTAACAGTATTGCAGTACTGTTACTATTTTTTTGAAGGGCTGTTGAGAAATCTTGGTAAAGTGCTCCATGAGGTCCCAAGTTCAATCCCCAGAAGAGCCGAATTTACAAAGTTATCTTCTGACCTCCTCGTGGAAGGCTTAGACTATCAGGTTTTATGATTTCAGTCTTTCAAAGTAATAAAATCAAAAGTAAGGAATGGTTTTAAATGGGATCAGAGAGGAGGGAAATACATTTAAGGACCAAATATTTCCACAAATTATGGACTATAAAGCATCTTAATGAGGTGACTAGGCATCTGTTTTGTAGGGTTTTTTATTGTGGTGAAGCTATATATAAAGAAAGAGGGTCTGAGAGCGCTACTGTGCCTGGCTGACATGGGTTATTACAATAGCTACATCCTCTGGGACTCTGAAATCTCATGATGTAGTTAATTCAACCTTTAATTGGTTCATCCTGGTTCTGTATGGAAGAGTTGGTACTGTTAGAAAGATAAATATCTTGAAGAATGCTTTCTTCCTGCTTATCACAAGTTCTTTCCTGAATGTGTAACACTAGTGAGCAAGAGCTTGTGCTATTCTTGCCAACCAGCCCAACTGTACCAACCAGTTCGTTCCACTTATTCTTGGCTTTTCAGGTGGCTATCCTCATCTAGGCTTGAAACTCACACTTTTTTCACTCACACACTTTTGTTGAGAGTAGTGAGAAATGATCACTAGTTCACAGTGCAGTTTTCTTATTTAACCTGAACACTCAGCTTTGCACCCGCCCCTACTTGGCAAGGCATACCCGCCTCACAGCCACCACGGTGGACTCTAAACAAAATCTCATGTTTTTGTTGTTCTTTTTCCCCACTCTCTGCAAGGAATGCTTCCTCCCCTGGGTTATCTGGCAAGAACAGTAGCCCATCCCTAAAATAGTAATTTTTCCTCCCAGTTATAAAAACATCAGAAATTCTAGTCAAATGACTGCTGTGCTCTTCAAAGATACATGGTAAAAAATTTCACTTTGGGAAATGCTATGATCACCATTTAAAAGAGACTGAATTGTCTAATAAATAATTTATTAATTCCTTAAGAAAAATGGTTTATTTACTTATCTCTCTCTCTCTCTCCTTTTTTCAAGACAGGATTCCTCTGTAGCTTTGGAGTCTGTCCTGGAACTCCTTCTTTAATCTGGCTGGCCTCAGACTCACAGAGACCTGCCTGCCTTTGCCTCCTGAGTGCTGAGACTAAAGGCATGTACCACCACCACCTGGCTGATGTCTCTCTCTCTCTCTCTCTCTCCCATTTTGACAGTTTTCTAAGTAGCCTCAGCTAGCCTAGAACATCTGATCTTCTCAACTTAGCCTGCTTTTTGAATGCTGAGGTTACAGGTATGTAACACTGCCTGGCTAGACTACCTTCATTTATTATACCCTACATTCAACCAAGCAAGCAAGCAAGCAAGCAAGCAAGCAAGCAAGCAAGCAAGCAAGCAAGCAAGCAAGCAAGCAAGCAACCAGCCAACCAACCAACCAACCAACCAACCAACCAACCAACCTAAGATTAGCCTTGTTTTCAGAGGGCTGCTGGAAGGAGTATGACCAAGGGCAGGCACAGAACACCATGTTCCAAGTGCTATGTAACACTGGAAGAAGTACACCAAAGAAAATTCCAGGTGTTTCACAGCTTTGTTAAGCAGTAGCTCAGCTGTAGGAAACACAGTCCTAGCACCCAAGGTATTTTCAAAATGGGAGGGGCTTCCGAATGCTGCCTATGAACTGAGAGACAAGGGTTAGGGCTTCTGTGTGGTTAGAATAAGTTTTGAAACTAGGAAGAATTTTATCAAGCAGTCATCAGCTTGAATTGGTACTCTGGTCTCAAGAAGGAGAAGCATTGCCTATGGTTGGCTGGCCCTTCCCTGCAGTTCAGAGAGATGTGCAGCACATTTCTGTAGGCAGGCTAGGAAAGCTGGTGAGACTGTCTCCACCCTCACAGCACTATGTGATGTGATGGGATGCTAAAGAGCCAATGTTTTTCATCCATTCATTCAGGCAATCAATACATTTACTAGGGGAGGATAGCTGCATGTACCAACTATCTAATTCATCAGTAACTACATTCTTCTAGGCATTGCACTTTACCACAAGAATACATAAAGTTAAGAACTATTTGCTATTATTTAATCACTATGTAGTTCGGTAACTTAGAACTCACTAGATAGAGAGATAAGGTCATTCTCTCTCAGCAGACATTTGTTGGTTATACTTCTTTGGCTAGGGCTGGGACCCTTGAGAAATCCCTTCCATGTGAGCATGTCAATTGGTCCTGTTCAGACCCTTTATTCCTCCCATCCCACTCTTAGCACTCGGAACCTGTTTTATGTTACTGTATCTGATGTTCTATCTTCCCTGGGTCTTCAAAGTATAATAACCCTTGTGCATATTCCTTCCATTAGCAACCTACAAGTTAGAGTGGGATATAAGATAAGGCTAATCTCTTAACTTATTCAAGCAGATCAATGGTAACAATAGCCTCCAATGTGGCTACTGTCAGGGAATATACAAAGCAATAAGAGAGACAGGAATATAATTATAATCCAAGAATGGGGACTCTTTCTTATTCAAGGTAACTGTCCAACTATATCCAAAACAAATAAAAATGGTCCTGCTAACAGCTCAGTGGGCAAAAGTGCTTGACACTCAAGCATGACAAACTGAATTATAACCCTGGGAGGAATAGATAACCAACTCCTGAAAGATGTCCTCCATCCTCTATATGTGAACATGTATGCACCTGTAAACATACATACACCACCACTAATAACAATGATGATGATAATAATGAAAACTCCAAAGGATATAACAAGTCAATTCAGTTTGTATTTCATTTTAGTTTGAGAGGAACTGAAAATACTCTGACATTTTATACATTTACATTTATATTTTTTATATAGTGTAACATATATGTACATGTCTTTTACATAGTTTAATACTGACAGAAGTGTTGTGAGTTCCTGTCATTGCTCTATAAAGAGAAGATTTGGGCTGAAAGAGTTAATTTCCTGGTTGGACAATCAGAAGCAGGGGCTGGACTAGACACCTCCATTACCAAGCCAAGTGTTTTCCACTATGTCAAGCTTCTACTATGTTCATGACATGTAATTTTAAACTAAATAAAGGAACTTTTAAGTATATGAACATAGTAAAAGTATGCTTTGGTTCCATGCAGAGCCATTTGGAAAAAAAATGGGAATAAGTACAGGCAAAGATTTAACAAGCCAAGCTCAAGGAACAGAGACTATGGGCCAGAAAATGTCACATGGAGGAACAGAATATGGGAGGGAAAGATAAAGACAGACAGGTGTATCTGAAGGAAGAATGAGTTGAAGCCTGGGTCCTGTGAGAACTTTCTCCATTTTTACAATACCACCAGTCTTGTCTGTACTTTTTCTATTCATCTCATTTGTTCAGGGAGTTGTGGGCTAGTTTTTCACAGATCCCTAGAACCTTGACCCTGACCTGATGTCAGCTGAATCACTGCAATTAACTTCCTTCTACCTGTCCGTGGAAAAAGCTAAAAGTAATTTGCTTAAAAAAATCTGCACACCTTCTGTTCATAAAAAATCAACGAGAAACAAACACCTGTTACTACCAAGTATAGTGGTAGAAAGAAAGCAAGAAATAGGAAAACAGGATGACTACCATCTAAATAGTAAACATACAGCCCCTCCTACAAATATTTAGTTATCCAACATTCTGTAAGGTATATCATAAACAATAATAGAATAGTAAAATGCTTATACCACATTTATTGCTTTTATTTTACCTAATTGCTTAGATAAAACTGGTTAAACTGCTTTCAAAATGATGTCAAAACATACCACCATACTGTCACTTAACAAATTTTTGGTTTGGTATAGTATTTTAATGAGAATAGGCTTGATAATATTGTCTTTTTAATCATAGATCCAGCTTAGTAATCCCATGGCTTTGGGAAAATTACTTAAAATCTTGAGTCTTGGGTTCTTATCTATAACATGGGATGAATAGGGCCAGTGAGATGGCTCAATGAGTGAAGGTTCCTGATAACATGAGCTTGACCTCCTGACCCCACAAGGTGGCAGGAGAGAACACACACACACACACACACACACACACACACACACACACACACACACACACAAAAAAAAAAAAAAAAAAAAAAAAGAATACAATTTAAAATGGATTGAATAATGAAATATTTGCCATAAAGGTAGTTCTAAGAAGAAGCTGTGTACTTGAAATTGTACCTTGTACACAAGTACTTGTTATCTCTTGTGAACAATGGTCATTAACCCAGGTGCAGAAAACTTAACTACAGTGTGCCTTTTTTGTTGTTAATGAATCTGACTGTAAAGGTTTATAAAAGCTATTTAATATCATATGTGGATATTAATTGTTTTAAGTCAAGTGTGAACTTATTTGCTGCTGGGAACCAGGAGAGACATCAGTCACTTAAAGTCAAACATGTACGCTCATTATTTACTCTCAACAAGTAGGAGGGACAGCCTTGCCCAGAGCCCTCACCTCAAAGTCTATCAGCTGCAGGTTGGCTATCAGTGTCACCAGCAGTCCACTGCTGTAGAGCTCTTGTGCCAGCTGAGCCACTGCTTCTGTAGGGGGCTCCTTGTCATTTGTACCACACAAAATTTCCTTCATTGCTTGCAGAGATTTCGACACTTCTTCTGAAGCCTAGAGACCAGAAAGTATGTTAACAGAGAGAATACAAATGTTAGGTTTTAAGGAAGCAAATAGCTTCCCACACCAAAGGCATACACACACCCACATGCACAGACACACACTTCTTGGGCCTTGTCTATTTATAACCAAAGATAATTTTCTAGCTATAAATAAACAATAGCAGCAGCAACAACAACAACACTAGTAGGTATTCCTTTTTTAAATCTTAAAAAAAAAGTTACTAAAATGTATGTGGAAAGATCCCTAATATTTCTTCTTAGACAATATAAATGAAGTCTCAAACAATATTCATAGTCTCATTTGGTACAAACAAAAAAGAAAGTGTAGCCTTGAAAATTCAATGGAGTGTTTTGAGGACTTATCAACGGCTACAAGTGTTTATTTAAGTCTTTTGCTACAGTTGTTCAGTGGATCCTTACTCTCTTGATCTTCTCTAATGGTTCAGGCATAAAATCCCAAGTTGTCAAAATTCATAAGCTTTTGACATACTTATTCCTCCTACACAACTATATTTTTATTTTTGTATTTATAAATCTTAGAGCAGTTTACTACAGTTCAGGAATAATAAGAGAATCCATAGAGGCAGAATGTAGTTAGTGTCAAGTCCGGGGAGTGGGCTGTGAGGAATGACTACTAACGGGTGTGGGTTTCTTTCGGGAATGATGGAAATGTTTTTGAATTAAATAGTGGTGATGGTTGCACAATCTTGTGAGTTGTAAAAACCCAGAGTTGAGAAATTATATGGTATGAGAATTCTATCTCAAAAACCCTCATTAAACTAGTACAATAGACAAAAGAAAGACTACTTTAGTTAACAATTTGTGTTTCTATTTAAAAAAAAAAAGTATATTTTGGTTGATTTTTACATTGCAGTATCACAGTCATCAAAATGAGAAGAAAAGGAGTGGAGTAAGACAAATTACAAAAAATAACTTAATGTCAGCATGGCACTACTTTTAAAAATGCATTTCTCAAATTCTTTAGCTTATTACAGGCTTAAGAATAATTACAAAGAAAAGCTCTCTGCTCTCATGAACCAAGCGAGGAGACCACACTTTCAGCACTCAGTCACTTGTGCACATTTTACCCTTTATGTATTTCATGAGAAATTACATAATTTGGACCTTAAGTGTCCCCAAAGATCCACGTGTTCAGTGTGCCAATCCTGGTGGTGGCAGGGCCTATGGGGAGGTTTCTCCTAGTCACTGGGAATATATATGCTTTTGAATGGGACTGTGGGATGAACCACATGGTCTTTATTTTTTTTTTCTTCTTCTTCTTCTTTCCTTTCCCAACTCAGCTACAAGCCGTGTCACATGTCCCCCACATAATGTGCTGTCGCTACCAGAGGCCCCAGAGCAATGGGGCTCACAGACCACAGACCAAAGTTTCCTAAACTCCGAGGACAAATAAACTAGTAGTCTCTGGTATCTTGTTTTAATGTCCTCTAACTTCCACAATAACAGCTATTTTACTTTTCTCTACTTTCCTTACCTGTGTGTGATTATAGCCCTGGCTCCTCTAATTTTGAGATTTAAGGAAGACTTTTACCCTTTTACAATTTACTGCATTTACTCAGCTTTCCACTGGTGGAACTCATCTCTGTGGCTGCCTGGAGGCAGAAGTTCATCAAATGCCACCATCTCTACTCCTCCACTCACCAGTGGGTGTGATGCAACCAACATCTTTCTTGGTCCTATTGTTTGTGCACTTGGGGGCTGTTCTCAGTGAGAAGCTCTGAACTACAATGCAGTGTACATCCTCACGTTTCTCCTGGTGTGCTATTGTGGAATATTATTTTAACTAGGCAAAGACTGTTACATTTGTTTATGCTGCACAATATTTAATTGTGTAAAGGTGTGTTACTTTTGTTTGTGCTGCATTTGTGTAACTATATAAAGATGTGCTGCATTTGTTTCACCTTGCCTGCCTAAAACACCTAACAAAGAGCCGAGTAGCCAATTGCTAGGCAGAGGAGGGATAAGCGGGGCTGGCAGGCAGAGAGAATAAATGGGAGGAGAAATTAAGGCTGGAGAGAAGAATGAAAGAAAGGGAGAAAAAGAGAGGAGAGAACAAGTGAGATGCCTGGGTCAGAAGCTGGGCAGCCAGCAGACACACGAAGTACTGGAAGTAAGATATACAGAAGGAAAGGAAAGGAAAAACCCTGGAGGCAAAAGGTGAAGGGAAACAGATTAACTGAAGTCAAAAGAGCCAGAAATGAGCCTAAGCTAGGCCAAGCATGCAAGACTACTAATTTCTATGTCATGATTTGGGAGATGGTTGGTGGCCCAAAAGAAAAAGCCTGGTACTGTGCACATATTAAAAAATGTGGCAATGTGTCCAGGTACCATTAGTGGGACCGTCGGATCTTAACAATTGGTATGTCGACTCATCAGATATGACTGAATGAATATGTCTCCAAAGTTAAGTGTGCGTTGTTACCTGTAGTTTGCTGACTTGTTCCTGCTCTTAATCCTTATCAGCACTGCTGTGAATGTGGTGTGGGCTCAATTGACCTTTTCCTAATTTATAATGAAAACTAGGAGGTTTTTTTCCCCTTTTTGTTGTTTACCACTTAAAATTAAACATACTTTAAGAATGTGATCTTAAGTTTCTATTTGAACCAAAATTTGGCTCAGTATCTCAAAGAGTATCAGAATTAGAACAAGATATTTCTCCAATTCCTTCAATGGTTTAAGGTTTTATTACATACTGAGACAGAAGCATACTATGTCTCTGAGGTCTTTTATTTTATAACAGGTCTTCTTGAATCTAGTCACTACAGCGAGAACGAACTATGTAGGACATAACATTCCTTCAAAAGAACGAACAGAGCCCTCCCCATGAGGAAGTCCCCTTGGTCAGACCTTCAACAATGTGAAAGGAATGGGCTACTTCTCTTGTCCACATCACTGTGACACAATACAGTGACATATTTCTGATGTCTACAGAGACTTGGGGTGGGTCAGAGGCTCTCGACAGTGAACCAAAGCTTCAGTACAACAGACCCAATGTTTAATAGCTGCACAAACACTGAAACAAATATAACAGAGGCCACACTTAATTCTTCATTAAGTTTTTACATTGGCTTGGCTTTGAAATACACACACTTTAATAATGGTTTTGTTTTGAATCATACCTTGTCTGTCTTTTTGTCTTGCTTTTCCAAAATGGCCAGGTTGTCCTTCAGGATTTTCACAATTTCTGCTGGATTTTTGTGTGATTTACTAAACAAAGGCATTTTTTTCATGTCTAAAAATTCTCTTCTTCCAATATGGAATGCTAAACAAACAAACAAACAAATGCAAAGTTAAAACATGGTAACTTTTAGCTCCTAGCACACCCATTCCTCTGCAGACTGGCCATCCCCATCCACTCTTAGCCTGCTACCTTCCCCATGACACACACCTGGCTGCTGATCTACCTCTCTGGGCACAGCTGGACAGATGTCTAGTTCACCCACTCAGACTCACACTTAAAAAATCAGCCAACTGTGACTCAGAACAATTTGCTTCACAAATACAACCTATGTAACAGAAAAAGGTGAAAATCAATTCTACAAGCTGTCCTCTGACCTCCACATAACCCCCACTATGTGTGCATGCACAAACACGTATGTACACACACACACTGAAACTCAAGGGGAGAGCGTCCTGTCACCTCTGACTACGCAAAGGGACCATTACTGAAATAAGCCAAGCATAGGCATAGAGAAACAAGTATTCTAAAATAACTGAACTCATAGGAATTCAGAGTACCATGATGGTTGCCAGAGGCTGGACAACTTAGAAGGGAGGGAATGAGCAGTTGCTGATTGAGACTTTCAGATACACAGAAGGAATCGATTTTTAGCTCTTATACCCTAGGGTGACTGAGAACACAAATAACAGTCTATATTTGAAAATAAAATTCAATAGCACTTTTCCTCATTGTTACTTTTAGCTCAATGAAATAATATATTCTAATCTAAAGAAAGTTATTTTGCTATAATATTTTTATTTAACAAATTATAAAGTCTTAATGCTCTAAAATGGTTAGACAAATAATAATTTAAATAATTCTTTAAAAATTTCACCACTTTTAATTACGTTATGCATGTGGGTCTGTATGTAGGTGTGCGCACAGATTTGCTTGTGGAAGCCAGAGGTATTAAGACCTCCTGAAGCTGGAGTTACAGACTTTTGCTAGCCAACTATCATAGGTGCTGGGAACAGAATTCCAGTCCTGTACAAGACAAGTACATGCTTTTAACTGGGGGTCATTCCGCCCCTAAATCAAATACTTTTTTGAGCAGAAAGCTCCTGATCTGTCTCTGGGAAGAGGTGAAAGGGAGCAAGCTCTCTGGCTGCTGGTGGATGTCCTAACTGGTAACTGTGCAGCAGTGATCTGATCTGTCCCAGCTTCTCACTGCCCTCACTGTTTATGACCTCAAACATTATGGTATCACACATTCCTTTGCCTGTGTGTATGCACATACGTGCCAGGGTTTTCCCAGAGAAGTGGTTTCAATGCTTGACTGGCAAGTCTAAATAGTATTAAAATATCAATGATTCCTAACATTCATGGTTTGAAATAGTTCCAATCACAGGAACAAACAAACAAACAAAACAATAAACAAACAAAAAAACCCTAACTGAATTTATTAATGAATAGCAGATAAGCAAAGACAATAGATTTGGCTGTTTTATATTTTTGCAAATGAAAATGAAACTAGGCTTGAGTATACTAAGCTTGTTTCCTATGACTATGCTTTTTTTTTCCCACAGCCAATTACAAAATTTAAAAAGATTAGCAAGGAGGAAATAAAATGTGTAATGAATTGTTGTAATAGTAACATTAGAAAACACACAGATAAATGGGAAAATATCAAAAACAACTGTTAATAGAAATAAGTCTCTAAAATTTTAGAAGCAATGAAATATATCTCAGAGAAGGGGCTAGGGGTATAGCTTAGCAACAGAATGCTTGCTTAGCTACTCGAGGTTCAGAGTTCTATTATTCCCAGAACAGCAAAACAAATAAACAACTCAAACAAAGAGACTGGAAAGTCAAGTTATAAATATACTACAAATAAAAAAAATTAGTTTCTATACATAATTAAAACTTCAGGCAAGCAAGAGAATTCTGTGCTGAGGATTCTAAAGAGAACCAGTTAGCTTTACTCCAAAGGAGGACCTCAGCCAGGTTGAAGACCATGGTGCAGGTTGAGGCGGGTCATGAGTTCAAGGCCAGCCTGAGCTTCACAGTAAGACCCTCTAAATTAACCAGTTAAAACTGAAAATCTCTTAGAGAAGAAAAAATCCATTAGAGAAGTAACACATAGACAATAGAAAACACATAGTAAACATTTAACCACTCCTTTTAATTTAAAGCTGAAAACTCAAAGTGAAAAATTACTTTCCCCATTAACCAATAAGTTTTGGTTTTGTTGTTTTATTTTGTCGTATGTGGTCCAGACTGGCCTTATACTGGCTATATAGCTGAGGATGGTCTTTTGTCTCTATTGTCTAAATCCTGGAATTACAGGGGGTGTGGGGGGGTGCAGCACTATGCCTGGCTAACAATGAAGCCTTTTGTTATTATGTTGACAAAACTCTAACTGAATGATGGTGCAATGCAACTGGTGAGAGTTAAAGTTGCACAATAATCTGGCCTTATGGTTCTAGAATATTAGCTACAACCTCTGACTTAAAAGTAAACTCACTTCTGACAACCTAAGATAATTAAAATGAGCCATATTATTCCACTTTATATTCAAATTTATATAAAAGTTTTTTTCCAATATTCATTATAACAGTGAAAAACCCAAGAAGAGTCTAAATGTCTCAGAAAGAAAGAAAAAAAAAGGAAGTAAATAAATTATGATTTAACCACTCTATATACTAGTAGTAGATATTGTGGGTTTTTCCAACCTGAAAAAAATTTTTTCTTCCTAAATACTAACACCTAAAAAAGTAGATGTACTTAAAATTGCTAAATAGGCTTTTCGTTTTAAAGTCCACACTGGAATTCTGACTCTCCCCGTCTTTTTAAGCCATTTGTCAAATATACTTTGTTTGGCTATGAAATTTCATGAAGAGTGGTACATGGTTCAGGTTCTGGAAAGCCAAATGGATCATTTAGCTCTGTGACAGTGAACACAGGCAGGGAGGGTATGTAGTAGATTTTGGCAGCACTCCTAACTTGCATGTAAGAGCCACTAAAGATGGCCAAGGTCAGTCATCTGAGAAATTTAAGTGGAGAGGTGTATTTGGAAAGGAGTGCGTGAGGCATTGAATGTCGTTACTGGTATCTTGCTTCAAATATTTCAAAGGAGTGTAAGTGTCTGTCTCGGGAGGTTAGTGAACATTTCTAGACCTTCTTTTCTCACTTCCAACAGTGCTGTTCAGTAACAGTTCTCAATTCAAAGGTTTCACCAGGATTTTGAAGGGAGTGATAAATCTATTTCTGAAGTAAAGGAAATCTCAGGAATTGGACAAGCACCAAAGCATCTGTTTGACCTCAACTGCCAACTTGTTACTTAGGAAAAAAAAAAAAAAAAAAAAAAAAACTTAACTCAGAAGAAACTTTCTTTTTTTAAACCTAAGTTTATTTTCAATTGACAGTGAACAAGTTGAGACCATTTCCAAGATTCCCACAGCTTGTAAGTTAAAGCATATGCATGTGTGTGTACATGTGCATGGAAATTAAGTGTGGGGTCTTTTGCATGCTAGACAAGTGCTTTACTATTGAGCTACATCCACAGCCCCAAACAAACCCAAGTTACTACTTTTGTTGCTTTGTGATGCTGTTGATGGGAGTCCTGCCTTCACAATCCCCTTCCACTGAGCTATACCCTAAGTCTCCCAAATGCACATTTCTTAAACACCCTCAATATACCCACTACCCACATTAAAAAACATTCAAAAAGTTCCAATGGTTGACAATCTTTTATCTGTATTCCAAAAGGAGCACAGACAGAAATAAATGAAGTAAGAATACATCAATAGCAAAGGACTAGGTATATAAAGATGCACTTTAAACACACTGGCAAGGAGTTATATTTTGACTATACAGTGCTGATTAAATTGTTCTTTTAAAATGGATAAATTTGATCAGATGTGAATTTTGAACCTAAAAAGTGGCCTAAAAGTTCTATATTTGCTTTGTCCAAAGATACTCCTATCAAAATAAAAATTGAGAACTTCTGTCACAGATAAATTATAAAATGCATCACTACGGTTAGATATGCCACAGCACCAGCTATGGTAAAGTACCTTCCAACCAAATTTCAACTTTTAAATATGAATTCCAATGTTATTAGAAACCACAACGGAATTTTGTACTTTGACAGACTTAAGTGAAAATCAGCAGACTACTGATAAATGTATAAAAAATGTAATTGATGGAACTAGACATAGCGATTCCTAACCAAGCACCAGGTTGAGCTCTGGGAATCCAGATGAAGAGAGGGAGGAGGGAATATATGAGCAAGGGAGTTCAAGAACATGATGGAGAACTCTACAGAGACAGCTGAATAAAACTCATGGAAATTCATGAACTCTAGACCAACAGCTGTGGAGACCCCCAGGGGGATTGAACTAGGCCCTCCATATGTGGGAGAGAGTTATGAAGCTTGATCTATCTGAGGGGTCCCTGGCAGTAGGACCATGATACAAACCTGGTACATGAACTAGCTTCTTGGAGCCCATTCGTGATGGGAGATGTCATTCTGTAAACATGTTTCTCTTATTGATTAATGAATAAAGCACTGTTGGTAATTGGGAAGACAAGACAGGCAGGACTAGGAGACAGGTAGGATTCTGGGAGATATAGTAGATGTAGTGTAAGACCACGTGGAAACACTTAGAATGATAGAAATGGGTTAATATTTAAGACAGAGCTAGCCAATAGGATGTTCTAGCTATTGGCCAACAGTTTTATAATTAATAGAGTCTCTGTGTGTTATTTTGGGACTGATGCAGCTCTGGGACCAGGCTGGTGGGAAAGTGCTCGTAACACATTCGCCATGGCAGGATGCCATGCTCAACTTTAATGCACTGTGCCAGACTTTGTTGACTCCTCATGGGAGTTCTTACTCTTGAGGAGTTTACTGGGACTGCAAGTGGGAGTGGGTGTAGGGTGGGGAGAGGGAGAACTGTGGTTGGAATGTAAAATGAAACCTAAAAGAATAAATTAATAACAGATAAAATGGTTTCACAGATAATTCTTTACTCTAGTTTTTGGTTCTCAACCTTCCTAATGTTGTGACCCTTTAATACAGTTCCTCATGTTGTGGTGAC